CATCATGGTTACGATTGTCCATGGCAAGGAGCTTGTGCAACTGTACTCATGCTGGTCTAAATAAAATAGCCCATTATTTGTGTGTAGATGAGCCCTCAGTAGCCCTAACTATTTCACAGTTATGGAGTGACCATCAGCTCGCACTGTGGCTTTCTTACCAATGCCTGTATTAAGAGATGGGCAGCTAGTTGTTTTTGTGTTAATGTAACATTAAAAACACCTCTTTCACTCTTCATTAGTCTCACCTCACCTTGTTGATACAGATATAATTGTTACTAGCAAGGACCAAGCCTCTATTCAGCACAGTCGTGTCCATGATGATGATATGCATTATAGGTAGGAGTCTACTTAATTTGTGGTTTTTGCGGTCTTCATAGAAACCGTGAAAAATGGCATTGTCCACAATCACCAGGAAATATTGCATTGGCCACGATTTGCCACAAAATCAACCTAACTCCCCCACAGTGTATTATTCATATAATACTATCTTGGAAAATCCCAATACTTGCTGCAATTAAAGACAATGCGACAAGCACGGCAGCCATAGATCACATGATTGAAAGTTATTGTCTGCTAGTGCCATAGACTAAGTAAAGGCGCCAGTCAGTAAAGTGAAAATGTTTCAGCGCCATCTTTTAGGAAGTTAAATGCAACGCCATAGTCTGAAGATGGGTGAAAAGAAATTTAAAAAAGCAAATATGTTTCAGCTCAGGATTGTGTAATGCAGTTCCCTGTAGGAACCTTACATTCAGCTGGTGGTAAATTGTTTTGTTCATCTTGCAACAGGACTGGATGTATCGAGGAGAAACAGCATTGATCATTTAGAGGCTGAATCGCATATAAAGCGAAAAGTTTCTGCAGAGGCTGAAGGTCAGAACAAAAAATAAATGACAATGTCCTCTATGTTTAATAGAAGCACTGAAAGCAGTTTAACAAGGAGAGAAGCTACATTCCAGTTGGTGGAGGCATCCCTGCTGCCAGCATACCTTTGGAAAAAATTGATAACCCAAAACTAGGCAGGGGAACTACAACGAGCATGTATCAAATACTGGCAGTCTCCCATGTGCAAACAATCTTTGCCAAGATTATCTACCAGGAATAATTGCTTTGCATGTTCAGTCTACAAAATCTGCATTGGCAGAATATGAATCAATTTTGATTGTAGCAGACAAAGCAACAGATGCACAGGATAACTATGTACTCCACATCTTATTTGTACCTGGGAGCTGGAAAGACCACCATGTGCCTGCTTTTCAAACAGAGCTGGTTCAACTCATGTCTGTACATTTTTTCAAGTGTAGCCCAAACAGTGCAGGTTGCTGTAAACCATGGCTTAGAATTTAGCAGGATCTCAGCACTTCTGTGTGATAATGCAATGTGTATGTGCAAAGCTTTCTCTGATGTGTGTGCTCCATGGAATAATGCCCAGTGCAATTCATGTTACCTGCAACGCACACATTCTTTGTTCAGTAAGTGATATCAAGCACACACGCTTTCTATGTTATGCGGATAGACTGGTTTCCTCTTCAAAAAAAAAAAAAAAAAAATTCAAACATGTCTTAGGCCGTAAGCTTCGTTACAGGAAGTCGCCAATCAAAGTGGGGATCTAAATGCAACTGTGTCACTTCCACCAGAAGCAGTGCTTAAAAAGTGGAATTTGTAGTTTAACACAGTCCATTACTATGCAAAGAATTTTAAGTTAATATTAAGCTTGAAATCACACCCAGCACACAGTGCATGCTTAAACTATATGATCTCTTAAAACAGGGCAATGTTGAAGATCAAGTTAAATGTGTGGCTGGAAATGTGATCTGGTTCTTGGAGCGTCTAATGTGGTTTGAAAGGTGGCAGGTTTTATTCAATAAGCACACAACAAACAGGTGGGTCAAAGATATGGCATCACAACAATTTTCAGACTGAAAACTAGCGCAGGCAAGAACTCTCCCAGTCCATAGGTGCTAAGTTAAATCAGTACTACAAGTACAATCAGTCACTACCACCTCAATTTAAACAACTGGCTGCCTCCTTTTTCTAGTGCTGTTCACTTATTTCGACCCAGATCAGATGCCTTTTCTGAGTTTTGACCTGCTGCTAATTAAATCAATCCCTGGATGGCAGAAAGAGCATATCAACGAATATGCTGCTTACGTGAACTTTGTCAAAGAATGCCGGATGCCTTTGAATGTAACTGAGTTTTGGGGATCTGTTTCTGATCCGTTTCCACATCTCTACAACTTGGCAAAATGCTGCTTACAATTCCAACCAATTCAGTGGACATAGAAAGTGCGATCTCAGTGTATGGATGTGTCTTCAAGCCGCAGAGAGGGGAGATGTCAGCCGCAGCTGCAGATGGGTACTGCATGCTAGAGTTTAACAGTTAAAATTAATTGTTTCTATTAAGGTTAGCATTAATCAGTATTTCTACACTTTTTGTAGAATGCTACATATAATAATAACAAATGATGATGCAAGTTATAATTCATACTGTATATTTATATTTCAATATATTTAAATTTGGATTTAAATGTAATATTTAGATTTATGATATAATTAACTTCCCACAGCATTTGCTATTAAATTGTACAGTATATGCCTCTCTACGAATCGGTAGTGAGGGGCAGGGCTGCCAAGAAATGAATGCGAAATCGGCTCTTCTCACAACCAAGCCACAAAAATTGCTTTGTCTCACGAGTTAAGTAGACCCCTAATTATAGGTTATGCTGCTGCTCTCAGTATAAGCTACATACTCCTGCATGGTACCATCAGGACCCCAAGTTTGCTTGGCCAAAATATATAGGTTATTCTTGGTTGTTGCTCCTCAGCTCTGGACTCCTTTCCACTTGAGTCTGAGCCTGGCCATCTTACAGAGGCAGTGTAAGACCTTTTTATTTGGGCCAGCTTTTAGTTAAACTTTGGGTATTCTCTGAGGAATTGTTTGATATTTGTTTTATTGCATTAGCTGTTGTTATGACTTTGTTACCTTAAGCTGTCCTGAGACTTTTTGGAGAGGGTGGGATAGAAATCAAATAAGCTAACTGTAAAAAATGTAAGTGGTGATATGTAATAGTTACATTTAGGACCCTCATTATACTAGATACTGCTTAGATGCATAAAAATCCCTGTCTTCAATTAGCTCTTTATCTTTAATTAGCACGTGTATGTATCTGAAAAAAGGAGGAAGATGGTAGGCCAGTCTGGCTGAAAAACCTTTTAAGGCATGGGTTCTCAAACTTTGTGATACCGCGACAGATCTCGTCAGCATCACTTGCCTACAGCACTTCTGGAATAAACACGCTACACCCCCCCCCCCCCCCCCCCCCCCCCCACCCCCCCCTCCGCGCTGCCGCCACGTGTACCCCCTGGGAAGTTTGTGGCCCCCTTTTAAGTTGCTCAACCTCCCGGGGGATCACAACCAACAGTTTGAGAACCCGTTTTAAGGGGTTTAAACTTCAAGGCTTGGGGCTACTGACAAGACTGTCATGGCTCCTGCAGAGAGAGGGTCTAAGAGCTGGTTGCTCAGGCTGGCTTTTCCCCACTATGTCTACTCCCCACTTCTTGTAATCCACAGCCAAGTGGTTTTAATAGTTCTGCCCTCTCTTGTTTTAATTAGAAGTTTTAATCAGCCTTAGTCCTTCCCAATCTAGCAGCATGCTTTTTTTGCAAGCTCCTGCTACCAAGCCTTGACCCTCTGCTTAGGAATTTATTTCCTGCAAACGATTGTCTCACGGGAGGGGATCAGGCAGGCAGCCAACCTTTGTAGTTACCTTAGCTCCCTGGTTTTAAACTTGCATGGCTGGCAGTGGGACTCGGGTAGCTACCTGGCACAGAGCCACTTGCTGAGCAAAGAGTAGAAAATAGCCTCCCTGAAGTTTCAGACAAGTCTGTGGTGTGGTCTTTCCTTTGCACTCCCAGGCATTAGTGTTTAAAAGTGTGTATATGTGCAAATGAATGGATGGTCCCCAGCAGCAGTATGTTAGCATCTTGTTGAAGTAGGGTGTTTGTACCTGAAAGCTTGCAAAGAAGAATTTTTCCAACTATTTGAGTTGGTCTAAGAAAAGATATCAGATTTACCCAAAGAACTTCGTCTCACAAGAGGTAATGTATTTATCTTCAACTCTGAGAAACGTGCCTGTGAGGTACACTCAATGGAGAGATGGAAACGGTCTGCTGGATCCCACCCTGTTTCCTCTAAGACTAGATCATGCTTCTTTTTCAGAATGCTAGAGATATTCCTGTGTTTTCCAACCTGTTTTTGATGTATAGAAAGATTTCTGATTCTTCCCTCCCTCTTTTTTCCCTCCAAAATGCATACTGACCTCTTCCCAGCAATTATTCTCAATGCACTTTTCTTCTGAATGTTCCTGATATGGTGAGACTGGGAATATAAGCTTTCTTCCTCTTTGTTACCTTTAAATAGATTTTAGAAAAACTACAAATTGTCTCTGCATCTCTAAATCAGCTTTTCCTTCCCCTCCCCCCCCCTCTTATTTTTTTTTTTTTTTTTTTTTATCTCAAATTACTTTATAGGGTTTCAACCTGATAACTTTTTGATTGTATAAACTTCTAGTGATAGATACCATCTCTCATAATAAAAATCAGGAGTTTTTCATAAATTCTTTGCTTGTAAGTTTACGATCTATGCCTCTACTTTTAAAGCACTCCTTTTACTGGTTAATGCGGTAGGAGAATCAGTCTGGGGAAATTCAAAAGGTAGTCATACTGGAAATCTTCAGTCAGAAACACTTGTTTGGATATGACTGATATTTCTGTCTCTCTCATGGCAAAACCCCACTGTTTCAGTCTGATATATGAGTATATTTTAAAACAAATTTGAACAGACAAACAAAATACTAACAGTCAGGCCACAAATCAGGAAGTTCCTTGAGGACCCCCTCCCCCTCCCTTTAATTATTGGTTTAATATGATCAAGTACCTTGCTCAATCAGCATTTTAATGCTGTTCCCAAGTAGGTGAAAAATAAATTGAAAAGCGGCTGTATGTGGAACATTTTATTAAACAGAACATTACAAAAATCAGTGCAGACTTGTTAGCTCTTGCCAACTTTTTACTACGAGAACATTCTTGAAGATAGGAAATTCAGTGTTTCTTTAAAAGTATAAGTGTTTAGGCCCTGATCAGATGCCCATTTGCGTGGAACTTGGGGTTTAACCCTGTGGAATTCAGAGAAGGATTGAAGCCCAAAACTGCTGAGCCACTTTAAAATGACACGTAGTCAAACAGAAGGCTAAAGGTTGTTTGTTAGATTGCTGCTGTTAACTGAGCAATCGGCTCACAAACAGCTCCTCCTCAATGAATAAGACTGAGGCATTGCGAAAGCTACTACTGTTTGTAAATGTATAACTCAGCTCTGATTTTTACTGCTGATCAGAGTTTACATCACATCTTGTACCACAAGTGCCAGCCCTTACGGACTTTCTTAGTTTTCAGCACAGAGTGCTCGCATCCTCAAATTAAGCAACTAACTGCTAGCAAGGGCTTAGAGGCATTCTCAGTTGCATACAGGTCCTAAAGTAGTAAGTGAATTATTTTAGCACTTACTTAAAAGTTAAAAGTTTAAATGGTTTAATTTCAGAGTATTCACTTTTGTCACATAACTTTAACTCAACTATGTACAACATACGTTAACATGTACAAAAATTTGTCACGCTGTAAACTTAGCGTCATAAAGCCACTGGAAAAGCTCATCTATGCCTTTTCAGAATAAAAACAATCATACAAAGATTTCACATTCAGAAGGGACAAAATAGAAAAGAGGTTGCTATATCTTGCATATAAGTTCCTTGCTAATGAATAATGTCATTTGTGCAGTAGTGAAGATAAGCCATGGATTCTGTGGCTGATAGGAGATTGCCTGATTTGGTACTTGAGAGTATGGGCACATCAATCAGCTGTTAATATGAATGTTAAAGGTCTTAAAACAGCAACCTACAGCACTGCACAGTATAAGACCTCGATTGACTGCACAACTGGCTCTATGCATGGTTTCAAATGATTGGCAGCTAAAGGAATAAACCTCTCTTATAACTAGGTTCAAAAGGTGCAATATATTCCAAGTAGAGAAACAATGTTTCAGCGCTGGTAACAGTGACTCTCAAGCTGTTAGAAAACAACTCTCTTGAATGCCACTGAGTCAAAGAGTTCAGACGCTTGGTCATAAATGGAAAGTGGGTGACCCAGAGCAGGCCATCAGCAGCAACAAAGTACCAGACTGATGGGTGGCTTGGGAAAGCCTGCTAAGGAAAAATGAGACTGTGACAAGGCACATGTCACACAACACCTAGAATGGGTGTAGATTTTTGTGGGGAAGGGACTGTTGGAATCAAAAAGGGTAATTTGGTCCTGAAGTAGCCAGGAGTTTAAAAAGTCACAAACTGTCCATCAAAAATACCTGTAAATATAAAGCTTAGTTGAATTACTATAGTAGATATGACTTTGTAATTTGCTACCCAAACTTACTAAGACAAAACTATTTCCTCACCTCTAAAAGTGGTATTAAGTACCCTTAATAAGAAAATTGCTTTACGTGCCACATCTATAGAAAAAGTAATTTTCTTCCACAAAAGCCATTTGTAGTTCAGTACCAGTCCAGTAATAAAATGAAGGTAAACTGTACTTTAAGAGAAGGAAAGATAAAAGTGCTTGTGCGTTAGCAAATATCACTATTGAAAATTTTCATTTTTAGATTGTGTGTTGTGAAAATTCTCTTCTTCTTCGGGACTGTTATGTATTGCATATTTCCACTTGAGGGTGTCCTCTTCAAAAACAGATTGTAGGTAAAGAGCTGACCACGCCTGGAATCTGGTGACACAGAGAGCTGTGAACGAGGGAAAAACATTAAAGGTTTTTAAAAAAATATTCATTAACATCTCAATTTAAATCTTTACATAGGTTTGTGAAAAGTATTAATCTTACTGACCCATTAAAAGAATTCATATCAGGGAGATAAACAGAAAAGATCCTATGATATCATTTGTACCATGCTCAAATTAAGGATGGATTATTAGCCATTTCCTAATACACATTCCAGTTTGAAATACCTAGCGATGGGACTTCCTCTATTTCCCCTGACAGAATCCTCTAAGCTAAGTACAGTCAAAAAGGTTGAACTGATTCAGTCTTCGCAGGTTAGTCTACACTGCATAGAATGAACTGAAAAGCAAGTGAACGGGCATTCGCTTTTGCTTCTGAAAATGCAGCTGCATGCCTGCAGTTGGCTGGTACAGAAGCTGGGGACTTGCTAGAGCATGACTTCCTGCTTGGCTGGAGCAGACAGCTTGGGCCAAAGCTAGTCCATCTACCCGGGGAGGGGGGAGAGGAGTGGAGTGGAGTGGAGTGGGAGTTTGCTGAGGGAAGTACAAAGCATCCTGGGATGCTGGGGGACTGTGAGTTACTTGAATCTGGAGGGGATCTGGGAGAGACGTTCAATTACCTGATTTAACCTTTAATCAGTTAAGTCTCATGCTACATCCCTCCAGGTTAAACTAGTTTTGTACATTTTGAAAATGGTTTATGTGCACTGAACTTCTGTTGTGTTACATATTTGAACTGGTTTCTAATCACTTATACCGGTTTATGTGTAATTTCTGTCCCTAGCCCCAAAGTCCATTTGAGTTTAACAAGACTTTCCTGTTTTTTCAGTCTGTTTTCCTTTAATTTAATTCTGTCTCCCCAGTTTTTACCTCTTGATTCATCCTCACCAAAAGAAATATGCTTCCTTAGGATTTTACAAAAGCTCAAATTATGAGGCCAGCTAAGATCTCCCAACCTTTACTGATTAATTGAATAGCTAGTTTAATCCTTTCTAAGTCAGTCCTTCCAGTTTATCTACAGGTACCAAGGTACTCAGAATTAAATGCAGTTTAACATTCAATGTGACAAGTGGACTAAAACCTGGCATGCATGTGCACACATCTGCATTACCACAGCAACAAAATGGTTTATTCTCCACTCCAGAAAAGGAGACTCTTGTTTGGGACATCAACTGAAATTTTGGCATGCTTCATTTAAGAATGGGTGCCTTTTTTCCAAAAGCAATTTTGAACTGAACAGTTTAGCTATATTTATTTCTAAATGTTAATTTTCCCTTCACAATGAAGGAACTCTTTATCAGGAACCTGACCAACTCAAAGCTCACTAGCTCTTAGTCCCTGGCACATGGAAGTGCTGATGTGAATTAGACGTTACATTCTAGGGTAAAGTATGCTGACACGAAAAAATGGAGGATTTAAATTAGTAAGGAAAGGAAGTGTGTGATTAAAGCAGCTCAGACTCTCTAACCTTGAAGAATTTCCAAATGCATTCCTCAGCACTCTTCATGCAATTCACTAAACCCCAGCAAAATCCTCATGTTATGCTTCAAAATCCCTATCATTTTAATGTCAGTTCTCTTTGTTTCAAACAGGTCCCCACTTCTGAGGAATTCTCATTGTACTTTGTTTTCTCCTTTCTTTTCCTGGGCTGAGCAAGTTTAATATCTGATTCATTCTGAATACCAGAAATACCAGTTGGAGCACAACTAGAAACTCTTTGCTTCTACTGTCTTCCCTGACTGTATTTTTTAAGAGTTAGTCATTGTCCCTATCTGTTCACGTGCCTTCAACACACTAAGCCTGCTGTATGGTAACTAATCCTTCTCGGTCATCGAAGTGTCATTGAAGAGTCTCACGTGTTCACTGCTCTCACAGGACAGAACCCATCCTCATTGTGCAACTCAAATGCCTTAAATAACAAATGACTTCAAGTTCTTCACTCCCAGTTTCAAATCAGTTTGCACTTGATACATTTGAAAAAGCAAACTATAGCTGAAGAACTGCCTGGCCATACTATAAGTCTGTCTAGAAAGATGGAAAGGGGGATTTCTATCTACTCAGTATTGTCACATGTATCGATATACAAAGTTAACTGTATGTTTTGAATGTATTTGCCTCAGGCCTCCTCTTACCTTGGTTTGAATTAATGCTTTACAATTACTAAAACTGAATCCATCTACTTTTAAGTCTTCGTTTTCTTTAACATTCGAATCTTCAAAAACATCATCCTTACTGCCTTCTGAATGGTCCTAAGAAATAGAAAGTTGTTTAAACATGTGTTCAGTGTTTATTTAATGTTAGAAATGCTTTACTCATGAATGGCTACTTGCCCCCCAAAAAGGTTCCCCTTTCAGAATTACTAAGCAAGAACTATGTTATTTTAGAAAGTTGCGGTCCATAACACCAGGTTTGTAATGTGGATTCTGTGTATCCGTATACTTCCACTAAATTCAGGACAGCAATATATTGAGCCAAAAGACTACACGCTTTGATCAGACTGCTGGACTGGGAACTGAAAGTTCACTAGATTACTCGCACTGTCTCCTTGGGGGGTTTTGGTCAGACCTCGCCTACACTAGAGTTGAAACTCTTTAACAATACCAGTATATTCAAAACAGCACCACCACCCTGCCTCTCTTATCGTGATGTAACTGTATCCATGGTAAATTGCTGCTCAACACTTGTATATGGTAACATAATTAACTATGCCAATATAAACTGCCTTTATACTGGAATAACAGCAACCACACTTTTGAGGGGAAGGAGGGTTGTAACAGTAGTTACAAAAAAAAAAAAAAAAATCCCCTCCCCTCCCATAAAAACAATTAAAACTTTAAAGTGTTGGCATAATTAATTATCCAAATAAAGGTACAGTGATAAACTTGTACAAAAAGGTTGGTCAGACCAGGTAACACTGAGCTTTACAGCTGCTGGTCTATTTGCAATCTGAACAGAAGGTATCATTAAGACTCTGTTGCTCCTGAAAAGCAGGGTGAAAAATTTTAGGGCATGGGCATATAAACCAAGTTGCTTATTGTAAGGCAAAAGCAGGGGCAAGGATTTACCATGCATCAGCTACTCCATGGTAACCATCTCTATGCACATTCTTTCCTCATGGTAACAGAAAATATTCTGTAGTAGCTTAACCCTACTTTACTGCATGCAAAGTTGCAATAGTTTAGCTTCCATTTACTGGTGGGGACTGCAGTTACCAGAGAACTGATAATCCCTGCCTGCCCTCTTGCCTCTCAGTAATTTGTTTGTGTTCCCATGACCTACATTTATGCCACCTAAAAACTGATTATTATTGTGATAACAATTTTGGGAGTTTTTAAAATCTAAAATCTTGATCTTTCAATTCAGTTAAAAAGACGCTTTCTTTTTTTTCCATCTGAAATTAGTGACACAATTCAAGGGAAGACAAACTGAACATCATTCTAACTTGTAAAGTTAAGTCTTACACATGGTACTTAAGTCAGCCCAACTGATTCTACTTTTTCTAAGGACCAAATCAATTTCTATACAAGTCAGTGGAAAGATCCTCGCCAATACGGGGGAATTGGACTGAGCTTGTATAAATAGTTAACTATTTATTTTCAAGGTGGGCAAAAAGTACCCAGCTAGTTTGTATTTGAGAAACTTTAGTTGGCAAAGTATATCTAGGGTTGACCCAATCATCTGACAAATGTCATGTACTGCTGTTATAATGTAGGCTGTAACACAATCTCTGTTTATGGATTGGGAAGGTGAAAATTTGATCCCAGCACCATTTTAGTAGCTAGTTTGAATATCCTGATTGAGAACATTCAAAGCTATCATAATTACAAGTGCCTTAGTTGAAAAAAAACGTGTATTTGTGACCCAACAAAATATAGTTCCAAATGCCCATGAATAACTGAGATGCGATTCCTTCAGCCTAGATGATGTAAATGAATAGGAGTTTAAAAAGAGAGTTGCATAGGTATTCTAGCAAGCTTTTATTTTAAATTACCTTTTCAGATGCATCTATTCCAAGAACAGACAAGAAAATGTCTTGGCAGTGGGATGTATTCCAGGAATATCTTAAACTGGGAGTGTTATCGGTGCTTCTGAAAGTTCTCCATATGTTTCCAGAGTCAATACTAGGAACAAAATGCAACTTGAAATAGTTCATAGAATATTTCTAAACCAGTACTTCAGAAAAAAGCCATTATCTTTCATTTCAATTAAATACAGTCTCACTGCAAAAAACTGCATATGGGTATATTGAATCATCAGTTATAGAATTGAACTGATTTGAAATTTTTTCTATGTTTCTCCATACCATCAAGGTGATCTACCATCAAGAGGTTCCATTTTGCCCTCACTAAAACAGCCATGCAGCAATGGCATATTTGAGAGCTCTGTTTACGTGCCTGCATATCTCCAGAGTGAGCGCAGAAGCAGGGAGAAAATATGGTTTAGTAAACTTCATGATCTAGAGCCTGGATAGTAGTCTTGTTGTGGAAATATGGCAGGTGAAAAGCTGAGCTCTTCAAAGGCAATTAACTCTGTAGTTTGGTTAATCTGCCTCATCCCCCTTTCCTTGATTTCAGCTTTAGTGTTGCACTGAACCAGGCTGCTATTCATGTTGTTCACTTTTCAGCTGTGAACTAAGTGATGTGACTAACTCCCGTTACAGGTAACGTATCTAATGTATCTGGGTTCTCATATTATACATATTACTATCATATCAGTCTATTTCAAGATTTTAAAATAATGCGCGCTCTCTCTCTCTCTCTCTTTTCCTAGCATGTTAGAGCTACCTGAAGACTGAGTGCCAGATCCTAATCAACTTCTAAGATTTAGGCACCTTTCCCCAGAAGGGTTGCCCGTATTGGCAGAATCAGGACTCTTATGACTGCAACTGAGGTGTTTCTGTTACATTGGGATCCAGGATGTTCAGAAAGGAGACACCAACCTGAACCATGTCTACTTGACTTCAGTAAAAACTTCAGCATGCATAGTGCCTACATTTTAGCCAACAGTGTAGTGTCAAGAGCACTTGCCTTAGAAGTGGGAGACCAAAGTTATAGGCACCAGTCATTTCAGGTATGGACACATGTACATTTGGAGCAGTTTCAAAAGGGCAGCATCTCTTATGTTTCAATCCAGGGGTGTTCAACCCCAAGGCCACAGGCCTGATCTGGCCCATGAAGCTCCCCACTGGTTCAGAAATTTGGTGGCAGGGGAGTGGTGGCAGCAATTGATGCTCCCCTCCTGCCAAATTTCCCAACCTAGAGGGAGCCCTGTGGACCAGATAACATGGCCCTGCATGCTATATCTGATGTGCAGGACCTGGCAGAGGCAATGAAGGGCCCAGTCCCAGCATGCTGGGTTAGGCAGAGGTGGCAGGTCCTGATCCCAGCATACTGAGTTGAATGGAGGTGGTGTAGGACTGATTAGGGCACACAGGGTTCAATTCAGGTACCCAGGGACTGGGGAGGCAGCGCAAGGGTGGGCAAAGGTAGTTTTGGGCCCAATCTAGCCCACAGACTGGTTCCACACCATTCATCTAGCCCACAGGGCCCAAAGGTAGAGCACTACTGTTCTAATCATTGCGCGGACAAGGCAAGAATGATAAACATGCAGAAAAACTGCCCCAAGCACAATGCTGCTTCATATAGTGTTAAAGTTGGAGCAGTTTTGCTACATTTGTACAGTACCCACATTGTCCACATGTAATGATAAGTGCTGCTGCCCTTTTGTAACTTAGGTACCTAAATCCTGTTTTAAAGCCTATGAGGTTAATTAGGCTCTGGCTCTGAGTGTGTTTGACAGGAGCCTGCTGATGGTAAATGCAAAGTAGAACCATATTTTATTTCAAACTATAATACTTGGAGTGTCAGTAACGTAAGGTAGAGGCCTGGGCAGCACAGTGGCAGACAGGGCAGGGAGCAGAAAGCAGAGCAGCAGATGAGGCAGGAGGAGGAGATGGGAGTGGCACTCCACTCCAACCATGGAGGGTGCAGGACTAATTACTGGCACACTTTCCAAACAGGTTGGCCCCCACCGATATAAGACATGAATGAGCCTACTGTTCAGTTAAAAAGCTCCTGATATATGCAGAAAGAACCATGGCCACTAGTTTGAAAGCTCCTGATCTTTCAAAAACAAGTAGATCAACATTCCAACAGCCTTGACAGACAGCGCGTTAACCATTTTGACTGCTATTAACATTCCTGAGTGAGGGAATCACCTACACAACTGATTCAGAAGAATCTCTAGCCTAACATGAGGGGAGCCTAACATAATCATGAAAGGAATTAGGAGGATGTGGTTAGAGGAACAGTAGTAGTGATAGGGTGAGAAGGACTTTTGTTGCTGCTCTGGCTAACAGGCATACACGAAAGAGAAGGAAAGCAGATAACCAGAAGGACACAGGAAGGGGTGTTTAAACATTCCAGGAGTGTAATCATTAGATATGCTACCAAAACCAGTAACAGCTCTAATGATACTTAATATTTGTGATGTATAAGTGCAGCTCATTATGCTTTTGAGTTGCTAGAAGTGCAACCCATTTCTTTTAAAAACTCAGTATGCAGGCTACTAAAATGCACAGGCTTTGAAAATGTAGGACAAAATGTCTTAGCATTGCTGCACCTATCTTTCAGATGGCTAGCTCCAAGCACAAACCTGTGTTAGGCACCTAAATTCCCAACAGAATGAACGAGGAGCATTAGAAGTCTAGGAACGGAGCCCTCAGGAGGCACTGAGCGACAGATACCTATGCCAGAAAGCAGGAAACATCTGAATCTTTACTATTCATTTAAACTTGTTACCAAAGTTGTTTCTTCAGAAGTTCAGGAAGCCCAGCATCTTCATCCTTTGTGTTAATCACTTGATCTAAGCTTCTGATGCTCTCTGTGGACTGTGGTACGGGGATTTCTGGAAAGCCCAACTTAAAAATATCCTCGTAGCAGTGTTTGGCCTAGAAAAATCAGAGTTATTATGCACATTAGGCTAATCTTGCAGTTCATACAGGAGCTGGTCCAGAGATTACTGATGTCAATGGGAGTTTTTGCATCAACTCGAAGCCTGACCTAAATGCAAAACACAGGAAAATCTATAGGCAATTTCTATGTACACAGGATCCATGGCAATAGTATAGGAAAGATACAGTTTAGAGCACACTTCCTGTCTTGTAAAAGTTCAGTATTTCAAAATTGTTTTTGCTCTTCATCTTTCAAAAAGGTGGAGGTAGTGGTGGAGATGGGAAGATCCAGATCAGCCAAACGCCCAGAGCTTACAGCATTCACCTAGGATGTTGTAACAGAGCTTGGTCTTCACATCCCAGCTGAGCACCCTAACTACTGGGGTGGCTACTAATTAGTCTGCAGTGCAAGGGTGGGGCATTCACCTTTTCAAAACTGGTATGTACTTTCCTGCAAGTAGCTTTTGGTGATAACATGGTATACAAATGTTTAGTCCAGGGGTGGGCAAAATACAGCCCACAGGCTGCATACAGCCCGCGAGGCCATTCTATCTGGCCTGCGGGGCCCCTAAAAAATGTAGACAATTAATATTTCTCTGCCTTTGGTTCCTGTCAAAAATGAGACTACCAAGGGCAGTAGGACCCAGGGGAAGCCCAGAGGGCTCCAACAACAGTGGGGCCTGCCCCCTGCCAGGGCTTCTGGCCTGGGAGCACGTGACTGCCCCGTGCCAGAACCACAGGTAAGTGGGGAGGGGGGAACCCCAGGCGGGGAAGGGGCGTGGGGGAGAGGGGGGAAAGCAGCCCCTTCCCAGCCCCATGGCCGGCGCCTTGTGCTACAGCTGGTCGCAGCCCGTGTGGGGCTGCCTGTGCCTGCTCTGGACAGCCCCGCAGGCTGCAAGCGGCTGGAGCAGGGAGTGCCGGCCATAGATTCATAGATGTTAGGGTCGGAAGGGACCTCAATAGATCATCGAGTCTGACCCCCTGCATAAGCAGGAAAGAGGGCTGGGGTTAGATGA